CATGTGCGCCGTGCTGGATCCAGCCATCATGAGGAAAAGCGACCTTGCAAGCGTCGAGTATCGGGCGGAGCATGTTTCTCGCTTTGCATATGCGAAATATATGCATCCTACACTAAAATCGAACGAACTGGAAGGTTTCTTGGCCATTGAACAATATGTGTAGCCACTGGGTACCGTATAATCGCGTTGTTTTATAATGCGAGCGATGTCTTCAAATATATCTCCAAAGTCTGGGAAGCAGACGACACGGAGGACGATCGCTTTGCCCGCGTCTGCGGCGTTCGGGGAGTGATGCGCGACTGGCACATCCGGGCACCTCGAACCAGACAACAATGCGCAGCAATATCATGGTAGTAACGACTTGCGAAAGGACGACGTCTTATCGGTTACTAGGTTCTACCCAAGGCATACAGAGAAACAGGAGACAAATGACTAGTCGACGGCGCACGAGCGGCGTGTTGCTGCACTGTATACCTTCTCTGCTCCGCACGTTGCAGCATGCCGCTTCACAGTCACGCCATCCGCGCATCCGGATCTCCTGCAGAAGCTACGGTCGCTTCCCGCACTGCGGCTTGGAACCAACATCGCCGCCGTGGGAGCACCATTGCGATACTCTGCTCCGCAAGCGAAGCACATACCGTTACTCTAGAGTGACCCTTCAGCCAGCGCCACTCGGCGGCCCGCGACCTTTCCGTGAAACTCATTCGCGTTTGAATGTTTGCATTACCTCCGGGATCATAGCCCACACCCAGGCGCGGTCGGCGCGGGGTGCACGTGAATCGCTGAACGCTTAAGGCACAAAATGCTTACCTTTCAAGTTCCATACTTGTGCTTATTTCAAATACTCTACTCAAAATTCTATTTTAAGTACTTTTTGAAGTATCATGGTAACTTGCAAATACTTTTGATCGAGAGTATTTGATACTCTATTTTAGTTAAAATTATGAGTAGTTTGTACTCATTGTCTCAAATACATTTTTGACAATCCGCCTTTTTCCGATTTTTTCGGTATGAAGCGGCGTGAGCGTGGCACGAGCAAACGTGAACATTCTTTCGAGCAAACGAAATCCTGTTACTAGCTCCGATTAGCTACGGTGACTTTGATTGAGCTCGTGAAAACATCGCTTTTTTTGCCGATTGTGACTCCTATTTCAGCTCAAAGTTCTTACAATGTAGGTTTTCCCCTCGCCTTTCCAAAAGCGCCTTTTGTTTCCATAAAGGTTCCCCCAAAACAATCCTCAAACAAAAGGTGGGGGTTTACGGAAGCAAAGATGCCCCCTTGCGGCGCAACGCAGACCGGGAAACGACTAGGGTTGTGCGAATATTCGAAATTTCGAATAGTACTTTTGAATAATACCCTATTCGATATTCGCTTCGAGAAGAACTGCACTATTCGCGTTTTTCGAAGTGTTGATTGCGGTGGGTTGGACCCGTTGAGCGCGCTTGTTCCCAACACCGGTGCGCCGCGGAGAAGCAATACACGCGGAAGCGAGCGTTGCGGGTATTGCTTCTCCGCAGCGCACCGGTGCTTGGTAAGAAGCGCACTCAACGGGGTAACACGCCGCGATAAACACTTGGAAAAGTATGAATATCGTAATTGCGTGCTTTGAAGTAAAGCATACATTCAAAGCGGGATGGTGCACCTCTGCCGACTGTATGTGAAAATAAATTAAAACTTTGTGAATGTGTATATCTACATTGCAATAAAGGGTTTAAAGTAAACTGTTATGCAAGAGTATACTATGTTAGGCAGAGATGCCCTTACAACCTGCGTTCATCATGCACGATTCATTCTTTTTTAACTCGAGATTAAAGAAAAAATATTTTATATAGCAAGATTTGTAAATTAACACCATTGGGTATAGTTGTCCATCTCTACAGGATTCATTTCATGTCAATCTGTCGTTTACTTGCCATCCGAAGACACCAGACCTTCTGGGGTCACAGTTCATAAATATAGATAGATTAAACTTAGCTTATAAATGAACAAGTGGAACAACCTTCACAAGTTTAGCTGGGTTTTCGTCTAAGCACAATGCAATGGTAGTGAAAGGTGTGGAAAAACTATTCGATATTCGAATCGAAAATATTCGGCCAAAACCACTATTCGCTTCGAATTCGCTTCGAACTCAAAATCCGCTATTCGCACAAAACTAGAAACGACCCACGACAACAATGCAGACTTGAGTTTCAAGAAAATAACAAATAGAAGAAAATGAGAAGCGGACACACACACACACATAAAAATAATACATTTTTGTTATGGTTTTTTGTATATTTGACCCCGCTAGGGCAAAACATCGAGCTTTTCTTTTGTTTCTTTTCTTTTTGTCGTCAGTCCGTCACTTATTGCCCTCGCGAACACTGTCTGTAAGCGAACATTGATAAGCAGAGAACTGTACGGGAAACGAACTACGAGCTGGATGACCTCTCGAAATGCCAACAAAGTGTCCCCCAATGTTGGGTACCCTTCTGAACGCAACGTACTTGAAGAAGGTGCGACCACTGTAGTGGCTATTATGTGAGTTCTCTTTGTTATCCATTACTCATATCCGTACCCCAAGATAGTTTATAGTGAACTCCTCTTAAAGGGAATATGGGTTGTAGTTAAACGATGCGTCTAAGGTGCGCCGCAGGACGTGATATTCAGCGATGTCACTACTGGCAAGGTGCTCTGACCCGCTTGACCCCCCCCCCCCCCCCCCCCCCACACACACACACACACACCTCGGTGTTTACCCGACACAAGGCCTGTGCAGATACCGACAGGCCTTATGGGCATGTTCATGTCATCTTTTTTAATAGAGCGCAGGGCACAGTATAATGTACAAATACCAACAATTAGTGAAGTGACGTTAAGTGCCGGATCTCTCCGGAAAGCAGTCATCAGAGGATGCGAGCTTGACCCACTTGGACTTTTGTGCTGAGCTGGGCACCGTGCATGCTGCATTGTTCATGCAGGCCGAAGTGGTAACAAAGGAGACCCTCCTCCCCCTCACTGGAGAACACAAACTCCAGCCGAACGCTGACCCCCCCCTTCGGTTAGGTCAGCCGAGCGCTGAGTCATTGTTTTTGTTGTCGCCATCCATGTGGTTCTAAAGTTAACCGCTTGGGGCGCCATGTTCTGATCTTCTCCCCAATAGCGAAAACGACGTCTTTCTTGTTGTTTCAGAAATGTTTTGTAACATCTATCAGTGATATTGGCAAGCGCATTGCCCAGCGAGCGCGTGGTCGAACGGTTGCCGTGCTTGGCTCTCGCGCGGAGGCTCCAGGGAGAGGTTCCAGGGTTTCGGTTCCAGGGAGCGGACTCCTCTTTTATTTATTCTTTCAAGTTGACATTCTCGTAAATTCTCGTAACCTTGTCTGATCGAGTTACGAATGTTCTACGCGCCGAACGTTGTACGCCGAATGTTCCAAAAACTCACGTGGGTACAACAAAAGGTGCTCCGAGTGGCGGTCCGGAGTCAGTCTCGCCCCAGCGCTCAATGCTGCTGTCTCGCCGACATCAACGCCTGCGACGCTAGCCTTTCTTTATTTTGTTTTGGGCACAAGTTCGCCTCATTAAGTGTTTAGTTTCTTCAGTTATTCGCCGCCTCATCATTTGTCATTCGTGACAGTATCCTGCAACTAATATTTAGACTGCAGAAAATAGCCCTACGATACTTTTTTTTTTCCTGTTTTGTGTTATTGCGTGCTTTTAAACCATTCTGGTAACCCAGGTTTGCGCAGGTGTATAATTGTCGTTGTCACTGACGTCGATACAAATTACGCAATGCGGAAGAATCTTCAAAAGTAATTGAATTAGATTTCTAAGTATTTGTACTCTACTCAAGATATTTTACAGTGAAAGTAACTTCAGTAGAATTTTGAATACTTTATGAAGCAGGTATTTAATAACTTAAATACTTTTATCGAGTACTTTGTCCAACACTGCTTTTAACCGAAAAAAAAAAGCGCTTTTGTGTTTTAGGATTTTACTGCAGCGGCAGTTTTGGCGCTGCCTGAGCGCGCCCCCCGTCTAGGCGGTGTTGCCTCTGCGCGCGCCTTCTTCCTTGTTCCTCCTTTCCCCTTTACAGCGGTCAGATTGTTTCACGATTTGACAGGCTTTGTAATATAACGGATGCTATGATTATGTGGATGACTCTAATACCCTAGTTACACGCGCGCTCTCAACTGTCACTGAGCCAATGGTGTTGGCATCTCCCAACTGTCATTGAGCTCAACTAAGTTGTCCGGTGTTGGTACATAGGCCTAGCAATCACAGTTGAGGCGCGCGTCAAGGGACCCAGTTGAAACCGAAACGAAACCAAAACTGATGTCACATTGCCTTTATTTAAAAAAAGTGATGCAAATGAAATATATGCATGCACCCTTTTCATTCACTATAAACGTTTAACCCTTATTCGGGCAGTCATTCAAAAATGGAACTAAAATTATATCACAATCAGTATTTCCTTAAGGAACCAATTCAAGCACCAAAACATTATTTTTTGTGGCATTTTATTTCACATTTAAGAGATAGGACATGTATCTCCCAGTGCACACTGCCCGTTAGGGGATAACAAAATGTTGAATATTTGAAACAATAATTACTTCTTGTGGTACAACCTGAAGCAGTTTCTTGGGGACTTTCCCGTCACTATGCAAAGCCTAACTTTGCACTTTTCACACGCCATTGATGTTTGGCCGCTTGGGCAGTACCTGCAGCGACCTTTGCCTTCCAGTGTTATTAGGTGACCCACACCGTCGTAGCGGACATCGGTGACAGGTGCTGCCGTGGTCTGCATTCTTGGGCGCTGCGCCGCAGGTTCTTCATCAAGGGTGGAAGAAGGTCTCCCTCTTTTCGGGGGGCTTGCATGCATCAAAGCTTCTGAAACAGCTAGTCGAAATTGTTTCAGTCGCATTGCCTTCACGCCAGTGAGGTTTGACTGTCGTCGGAGTAGTAGCCAACCGTTGTTCACGGATATATCGAGAAGCTGGCTGAAGATGCCTAAGTACCATCAATTTGTGCGGAATGGGGTGCGATAAAGCGCTGCGTACATGTCTGCAAGGTCAACACCGCCCATGTGAATGTTGTACTGTTTCAAGATTTGTGGGCAAGAAACTGGAATCTTTTGACGCTCCTTCTTGTCAAACCTGTTCGCTGTTTCCACTGGGTCTTGTGAGACACAAGAGCTTGCAAGTGTTACAGTCTTGCTGTCAGCCCATTTCACGACTGCAAGTCCTGCCACATTGTCCACCTTGTAGTCAAAGCTGCCTCTTCCCTCTTTCAGCAGTGACTTGTCATCCTTTAGGGAGCAGCCTCGAAGCCTGTTGCTTCGAATGGTGCCGAGACTGTGCAAAGAATACCTTTCTTTCAGTCGTGAGATCAGTTCCAGCGAAGTGAAGAAATTATCAAAGTAGACGATGCTCTCATTTGGACGAGAAATGCTCTCGCACAAGTGCAACACAACCTTTGCGCCGAGACCAAGCGCCTCATCCTCTTCTGCAAGTCTGATACCTTCAAATGTCGTTGCGCCGGTGTACAGAATGAAGTCATGAACCATCCCAGAAACACCCGCACGTACAAACAGTTTGAAGCCCCACTTTTTAGGTTTTTTGGGGAGGTACTGCCTCAGGTTCCCCGCCTTTTTAACCTTGTACGGGATCATCATCTCATCAATGGAGAAGAGATTTTCGCTCTCTGTGGCCTTGCATTTGCTCCGAATGTGCTCAAGAACAGGTTTTATCTTGTAGGCTCTGTCAGTTTCAACTGGCTGGAGGTTATCAATAAAATGCATGAACCTTCGGAGCTTCTTGAACCGTTTTACAGGCATCACATTGGCGATCTTGTCACATCTTGTTTGATTGGCTCAGTAGTCTTCAAACGAAGGCATCCCGATGACGCCCATCATAAGAAGAATTCCGATGAAGGACCTTAACTCTGCAAGGTTCGTGTTGATTGAGCTTCCGGTCTGTTGAGTGGAATACAGATTTGTCTCGTAAACCAACTTCTCAATGAACTCATCGCCAAAATACATCTGAAAATACTGCAGTGGAGTGAGATCTTCCGGTGCAAGCTCAAACTGCAGTTCTGGAGCTCGGAAGTCGTGGTCGAAACTTGTCTTACTCCATTTGTACTTGTCACCTTGTTTCGACGAGGCGGCGTTCTTTGGCGATTCGGCTTCGTCTTCCGAGAGGGATTCTTCTACTTCCAAGCTTCTACTCCTTGCCTTGAAGTTGGTGTCATCATTGTCCGTGTCCGTTTCATCATCGCTTGATGAGTCGACGTCGGATATTCCACCTTCAGGAGGGATCACTGTGGCTCTCTTTCTCAATCGTGAACCATAAAATGTCCTTGCAGCTAGCTCCTGCACAAAACAAAAATAAAAAAAAACATTGTAAAAACGTATACAAAACAGTGGAACGAATACTTCAAACGTGCAGTGTATCCTGTGAGATACACACGGATTATCACCCTGCTTTGCATAATTGGATCGGGGTATTCGATTAAAAATACATCACCAAAGTCTTTGCACACTTTCGTTTAAAATCGCAACGTTAGATTTTGATTACCGTTTCAACGTTTAGAGTACAAAGTAGTACTTGCCGTGGACACGTGGACGCCAGCACTGGTCGACGCCATGTTATGGTGGCTAGAAGGGGAGGTGTGACGGTCGGAGGAGGCAAGGCCGTCGCGCTGCGTTATGACGCCGCGAGAGGCGCTGTGGTCAGCAGCCCGATCAGCCTGTTCCGTGTCCGCGCTGTCGTCTGCACGTTTTTGCGGTTCGTTCAGTTTGTAGTGTTAACTCCGATGCAACTCTTTTTCTTGTGTCAGAAGAAATAAGGGACTGAGATTTTAATTTTGTTCGACAGATGTAGCATGTTAGTTCGGTATTTGCACCTCTGTTGTGTTTTAATCGTGGGCCGGTCACGGAACCTTGCGCGAAGTGGCCACTTACGTTCTTGCCTGAATCTTTTGATGAGTCAGTGTGGAATAAGATTGGAGCGGGAGATTTTGAGTGTCGGATTACAAGCAGAGGGCGATAATGACTTGATCTGTCAGCGTTTGATGTTCACGCTTTCTTTACTGCATTACTAAAGCTGTTGTCCAATAATCCAGAGGTACCAGGGAGGTTCTGCCTAATAAATTTGAAATAATTGGGTACCTGAGAAAGCAGAATTTTACTCGTGTTAAGGCTTTGTGTTCTTGCGTGCGGGTAGTCGATTCTTAGAACTTTGTACTTGTCTATTAAGAATTTTATCGAAAATACTATTTTTAACTGTTTCATAAAGTTGTCTATATAATTGAGAGCCCTGGCACATCACACCAAAATAAAGGGTGAATTGCACAGTGTAAAATACTTCAACGTCAATCCAAAGAATGCATGAACACTTTAATAAGCACGAAACTCAAAACAGGGTAGTGAACATCTTCCCAACAGCACAAACATGAGCCAGCAGTCAGTCTCATAAATCAGGGTTTCTACAACAGAACTATGTAAACATTTCAGTGGTCACAAACGGAGTGCCTTTCATAAAAACTCAAAAAGAAATGCAATAATGCCAACTAGCAACAAACTCGATACTAGCTTTTACAGCACACGCCTGATCTTTAAGTGTTTTTTTCTTTCCCGGCTCTCCTGCCGACTTGCATTCTTTGTGGCGACAAGGAAGTGCAACCTTGTTAAGATGAAAAACTTAATGATCATGTTTGTCAATGTGGTGCTGTGTGTAGTGCAGCCAACAGAGCCCAGTGAGCATGCTTGCAAAAAAGAGCACACATCGAGGATGCTGTCCGGTCCAAGTTCTCGGGAACTAAAGCAAGCAGTGAATGCATTTTCCAGAGACATCACTAACAGGTTCAGAGCTGCGGATGGGTAAAGAAGTCCACCCCGGTTTACAGCACTCGTCAGGCATGCTTCCTTGGGTGCTGCTGCAGATTCCTGGAGCAGCCGTTCAGTGCATTCTCTGCAGTTTGTCTTGCGTATGCACTTGCGTGCTACATACCCTGCAATGTAGAACACCAGGCGCGAGTCACTTCGTTCACGTGTGAGGGACAGCTGGTCGGTAACGATGCCACAAGCATCCAGCGTGGCTTTGGCTTCCTGAAGGTTGCCAAGGTCAAGGAGGTCATCGACTCGTCTCTGAGCGTCTTGTGCGTTGCTTGGGTTAAGAAGGCTCCTCAGGGTGCTTCCTGTGACATTCCCTCCTGTTGGCGATTTTGCAAGGTTGGCGAATGTCAGGCAGTTTACAGAGACGAGAAACTGTGAAGGTGTTGGATGGTCATTACATCCCGACATCTGACGAAGGATCCCGAAGAGGTTTTCGATGGGATCTTGACTAAGTCGTGATGTAAGAAGGTACCTGTACCCCAACTCTCCTGTCACGTAATCCAAGAGAGAAAGCGTGCTTGAAAGCGTAACACGAAGTCCTTCGGCGGTGCTGCGACTGAGGAAGCCCTGCCCTTGCGTTCCTGCCGATGCCTCCCATGTGTTGAGGTAATCGAGAAATTCTTGCAGCACAGCCTCCTTTCTTGACCCAGGCCTTAAGGCGTCCTTGCTGCGGCGAGATGTCATTACACTGATAAGGTCTCTCATCTTCTTGACAAAGCATTCTGTTGCTGTTGTGGTACCAAATCTGCCCTCTACTTCTTGCTTGTACAGGTAAAGGCCCCGGACTACCTCGTCGCTGTATAGGCGGATGGCGTGGCTGACGCTCATTTTCTCGAATCCGTTCGGGTGTAGCACCGGTTTTGTGACGCGTGGCATGGCTCTCAGTGGTGTGAGGCTCTTGTTGTCACACTTCCAGGCTTCTTCGATGTGCTCTACTAGAACTCGTCCTTCTGGTGTGCGAAACCCTGCAATCAGCATGTTGTTTCTCGAGCACTTCACCAGGTGCGGAAAATCCGAAATGAAGTGCAGCTTTCTGCTGGGGTCTGCAGGATGCTCCGTCTTGCAGACGACTTTTGTTGACGTTGCTTTAATTCCAAATATTTTCCACATACGCCTGTTCCATGCAGCAGCGTCACATGTCACAAAGTCAATGAAAAGCCCAGCTTTCTCAGTCATCAGAATAGCATCTACAATGATACGTGCGAGCATTTCGGCTTTTACATTAGATCGCGACCCAAAGACACCCAAGATCTGATGCCACTTTCCACCAAACGGCTGAAATAGCAGAACCAGCCCATGGTCGCACATGAGATGCTTTTCCTTCTCGGTGGTGTAGTCGGCCAAGTCCACAAACCCTTCAAGCTTGCCACCTTGTCCTACACTCAGGTGCTCAGAAAGCTTAATCTCGTCAATGAGCAACCCGCCGTGGCACATGGAGTTGTCAATGGTTTTTGTTTTTTCAGCAAGGCAACGGAACATGTTTATGTTAAGGCCAAATCCACCCCTGTACGCACGAGTGTATGTGCGGAGGCAAGTACGCCCCGGCAGGACGAGCGTCTTTTGTTTGCGAAGGTGCTCGTACACACGAGGGCTCTTCATCCGCATGATGATGCACTCGAGTGCCCATTCATCTGTGAATTTCATTCCACACGTACTTTTACGCTTGGAGGCCTCAAGGCAAGCTCTCACCTGCTGTTGTTGCATGCTTGGCAAGCGCTTGAGTTCTTCATCCAGGGTTGATGGCCTAACCTGTGCGTTTTTCACTTTCATTTCTGCCAGTTTTTTCTTCATGGCAGCAACTGCTTCTCTTGCTCTCTTTAGCTTGAGCGTCTTGATCCGCATCTTGTGAGCTGTTGCTTGGACAGGGTACCTGATACTCCTCCGCTTGCGCGAAAGTTCATTCAGCAGCAGCTTGCGCAGATATTTGCACTGCACACATCTGCTGTTCTGGCTCTGAACAGTGCCAGTGCACTTCAAACTGAATACTTTGCGTCCAAATGTCCGGTGCTTACATTTCGCGCGAAGCAGTTCATCAAGATCCTGCACTTCTCCCAGTCCCATGCAGGTTTTCATCGCTTGTACTTCTCTAAGCAAGTCTTCGGCTCCTTGTTTGTTCTCTACTTGAACCGTCTTCAGAGTTGCACCCTGAACGATCACGAGGGCGCAGATCCCGTTGCTCGTGTTGAACACAACCGACCGCTCCAAGCCTACCGTCCCTCCGTCCATCTCGCACACTGAGAACACAACAATCTCAGGGGCACCTGAAACCAGATGGCTTCCCCAGTAGTTGTTAGGAAGTGCACAGTCTTGCAGGTCCACTCCTTGAAGAACGCTCGTACTGGTGCACGGCAGGTCAGCGTCGTTGAGCTGCGGTGCAGAATCTGACCCTTCAATGTCAGCTCGAGGTGTTTTCGAAGGGAGGCCCTCAGACGATGTTTTTGTTCGGCGCTTCTTTGGCAGCGGCTTTGAGAGGTACGCCGGCAGATTGGGGAAAACTGTAGGTACCGCATCGTCCGTGAGGATAGGTCGGTCGCGAGGGATCTGAACGAGCTCCCCCCTCACTGTATGCGTGAAGTGGCGTACGATATATCGTTCGTCAAAGTGCAGTTCACAGAGGACTGACCTGTCGTCGAGTTCTTTGTCGGCTCTTGGAACGGCGCGCTGCCACGCTTGGAAGCGATCTGCTTGTTTAGGCACACCAAACAAGGACACGTGTGTCTTCGTTCGTGTCGAAACATAGCCGCTTGAGCACCCCGGCGCAAAGCAGTGCGTCTGCTTCTTCCCCATTCTGTCCAGTGCTCTGCCTCGCTATATTTCGCTCACATGTTTGCAAAAGGCACGGGTAACAGAAAGACGTTTAAGCTAATAAGTGGTAGCTCACGGAAGCACACGAACCAACCAACACGAGGTCCAGGCGAATGACTCAACACAGGCAGAGCACC